TCATAAATTGCTACATCAATACCATAGAATTCCACTATAATTTATTAAGTTTAGTAAATAAGCTGTATCTCAGTCTAAAAAATATGAAATTTTGAGCAGACTAAAGACACACCCTACCTCATTGAAATCTTGGTTCAAAAGAAAGAAATAGTGGAAGGAACGTTAGAAAGGCTGAGAAATCCATTAGGAGTACATTCTGAGCTTCCTATTGGTTATTCATGTCATAGATAGAAGTTAGTGCATATAAGGGAGAATTTCCAATAATTAAGAGGTGGGTGGGGTGCCACTGTGTTTAATTTGTTATGTGAACAATATCTTAGCAAATAGAACAGATAAGACCTTATTTTATATTCTCGTTTGTTAATATCTGTAATTTGAGTTTCTAATAGACTTAGTATTTTGACTTCACAAACATCTAATTTGGACCAGTGCTGCATTCAACATACCACGTAACACACAAAAATCTATGTTTATTTTTGTTATTAGTTTTATATTTACTTTTAAATTAACAAATTGAGTAATGTAGAGTTCAAAAATTTGAATTATAATCTACAGTTTGATACCAAACTTATTGACATAAATTCATGAAATAGTTCAATAAAATTTTGAATGTGAGTCAACAAATGAGATGACATGGCCTTTCACCTGTGAACCGTAATTAAACTAAATTCAGTTTTATTCACCCGAGTGACATCAAATTATCATTGCAGATATGCAAAGGGGGAAAGAAATTATTGCTGTATCCATAATATTTTTTCAGTTTGGTTATCTCATTCCAGTGATAATGTTTAACAGACTAAATATTGTTTTCTTTAGGCATTGATTATATTTATATTTAATCTCAAATCACCTAGGCGTGATGTAAGGTGGGAATTTAGTATGGGATCATATGGGTTGTCATATCTATGGCTGCATTATGTGAATTTTGAAGAAGGTTAATTAGAAGTAGAAGGGTAGTAAATGTGAATGTTCAGTAGCAATCAAGTAGCCATAAACTGATAAGTTTCTTATTTACTCATTCTTATTATAAATTTTAAAGAAATGATCAATGGCGGATAAAATTCTTCTTTGCTATTATAATTTTATGGATATAATTTTGCACTAGTATACATGATGTAATTTTATGAATATTTTTTTTTGTCTTAAGTTTATTTCAAAAAGTTCTAGATTTCAAGTATTGTGTTTGTACAAAAGCTGACATCTTATTTCTATTTCTCCCTCTTATTACAGGAATAATCAATCAACTATGACCCAGTTTTTGCCTCCAAACCTTTTAGCTCTCTTTGCACCTCGAGATCCAATACCTTACTTGATACCAGTTGATAAACTTCCACATGAGAAAAATTTGAAAGGTTTGAAATACACTGGTGTTGGTTCATTTCTAGCTGACTTTGAGGTATGTTTTAGTTGCATACAAATATATAGTTGGATAAATATCATAACTGTTGTGTGGTTTCTCTGTATATTGGGTTGGATTGACCAGTTTTTTTTGTTGTAACAACAGTGAAGTACAGTAGGACAGACAGAAATTGTAATGATTGCAAACTGAGAATTTAAGTAGCTGTTAGTGTTTCTTAATAACTGGTTTAGCAGAAGTCTGTCTTCTGGAAGATCATTATATAATTGACAGACATGTTTCATTCTATTAAGAAGCAAAAATTATGATGTACCAAATAGCACTGACAAATTTTGTATCCAAGTTACTTTTGATAGGGTTCCTTTTTCTTTCTTTTTTCTTTTTATACCATTTTTACTCTCACGGTACCTCAAAAGTAATTGTTTAGTGTTATATGGATAATTTTTTGATGTATAATTGAGAATTTGATAAGGGTTAAGGACAAAGGCTTGTTGAATGCTATATGCTAGAAGGGTTAAAGAAAAGATTTGAGCTATTTTAATATATTTTTTGTGGAAAACATTAAGTACCTAAAAATGTAATTTCATCCAGTTCAGAACATGGGACTATTTTAAACCATTCTTGTGATTTTAAGAAACATTATAGAAAATATAATGTTAATTACACCTGTCAAAAAAAAAAAAGTGTAATGATGTGCATTCCAGATCAAAAAACTAAATATGAATTAATTCTTTGTTTCTCTCCTTTAATTTTTTAACACATTTCCATTTGTTTTCTTGACAATTTTTGAACTGTATGAAATAGTATCAATAAGTTTACAGACTTAATGCTAAAATCTGGGGTTTGATTCCTGCATTGCAGATAGCTCATTGTGTAGCTTTGCATAATGAAAACAGCAGTAGTACTGGCTTAAATTTTTTAAAGACCTGAATATCTTACGTTTAGTGTGTGTTTTTCTTGTTTTTACCAAACTGTTGTCAAATTATGGTGAATAGTTTTAGGTACTGTTCAAAATTATTTCAATAATTGTAAGCAATTAGTGTATTCTATTAGTACCCAGGAGTTTATTTATTACTTAACCTTTCATTTTATTTAATGAAACAACATTTTTTTAAAGATACTTTTGTTTTCACGTGTTAAGTATTTTTGTAGGATAATTATTTTTCAATTGGGTACTTGTTTCACAGTATTTTAATTCAAAAAAAGAATACTGGATTATAAAGCTAAGTGCTTAATAAAAACAAATGTAAACTTAAGAAGTCTGATCTACTTGCAAGTAATCTGGCTTGTACCTTCTTTAAAGTAAGATTTTTTGTTTTTGTTTTAAAGTACAGTCACTGAGTTATATAGCCACCAGTTAAGAGCCAAAGGATTTAATTAGCTACTATGTGGTGAAAGTTTTGATCCCTGGAGGTAAAGCTGGATAAAATAGAAAAGCTAATCTGAAACTTTTACCTGTGATTCTAGTGAATCTTTGTAATGATATTAATCTCAAATGTTAACAAATGATTTTAAAATATTAAGATTTATTGCGTATGCAATAAAAAAAATTAACTTTTCACTGGTGTAGCTTTTTCAATCTTGTTGCTGCTGTTTTAGGATCCTAAAGAAACTCCACCACCAACCAGGATTGAAACACGAGAAGAAAGGCAAGAAAGAAAGGTTGGTTTCACAATTTAATTTTTTATACAAAATCTTGGAGTCTAAAATTGTCATGAGCTCTCATCTGGGGGAGGAATTAGGATAGTAGATTGCTTTTTTGGGATTGTTAAAAACATTTTCATGAAAATAACTAGATATTACTCTTACAAAAAGAGTACATTTGGGGGGGGGGGTAATATGATGGTTATAGAATGGCAGTGATAAAAAGAAGTTAAATTTTGCATGTTGATTATATGATGGGCTATGGTTGTATTTTATATTTTTCTGGTTTTTAGATATTGGTAGAAATACAATTTGTTTTATATTTTTTATTAAAGTTGCATTCAGCAAAAGAATGTTATTTACCTACTATAAAATTTTAAAATTCATCATACTACAAACAAATTTCAATAAGTGTACTAAATTAACCATTATATATTGTTTAAATAGTGGTTTCCATCTATTTGTAATCTTCATATTCTGGCATGACCTAAAAAACCATTTTACATAACACTTACAACTTCTAATACTGATGGAAATTTCAAACAATATTCCACTATATCTAACAATATCATCTGGTGATACTTCTAAATATCCATTTTCAGGGTCTATAAAGAACCCACAATACTTAAGTTAGATGTTCATAGTCTTTTAAAGCTACCCCTTTTGGGAGTTGCCACAATAATAGCATTATTGATAGGTTCTGGAGAATAACTTTTTGACTCTGGCTTCACAAGATGTTGTAATATTCATTTTTGGCACAAAGCCAAAGTGTGAAACAATGAATCTTTTTCAGCATTCTTCCTAGCATGCTATTTGTTCGTTCCTATTTGCCATTTTCAATCTTGTTTCTCTCTTCAGTTTTAACATGTAAATTTTGATGATATTTGGTATCAAAATAGAGGAGTTCTTCATCTAAAATAGTTTGTTAAACATTAGCACTGTAGTTTTGTTACCTAGTTTTAAATTTTATTTGTTCTACTTAAAATGTTCTGTTCTTGTTAAGTACTTCCTGCATGCCAATAGCTTTCTATTTTCACGGTAGCTAGTTTATCTTTTATAGTGGAAAAACATTTTGTCATAATCTTTTCAAAGATTATTGATGCTCTTTTTTGAACAGCCCAGATACTTTATCTGCTATTATATGATCTGATATCTGGAATTGCATTCCAACTGAAAATTTAGTGGCCAAGTTTGTGTAATCTTCAACACAACTTGTAGTGTTGTCAGTAATAAGTTTCCCTGCTCTTTTATTAACTCTTCTACTATGGGTGGGTGGATTCCACCCAGCCGGTATTCCCCCAAAGTAACCATAAAGGAGTTATGCTGTAAATTCAGAAGTTACAGTAATGTTTATTGATGTAGGGTAGCAGACATATTACCTAAAAGTTTGAAAGCTGGATTTTTACATTTATTGACATTTAAATACAATTGAAGAAAGGAAAACAATTATAACAATATTTTAAAAAAATAAACTATTGATTAAGGAAAATATCTTATAAATAAAATATAGCGGGAGTTAGTTATTTTAGTTTATTAGTAGCTAATAATTATTTTTTTATTAATTTTATTCCGTATAACTGGTACGGAAAGACTAACTTCAAGTAGCTGGGCTTGTCTCGGCATTCACGTGTTATACTTGAATAAATCTTAAGAGAAAGGGAGGAGGTTGGGAGTTAGAACTATATAAGAATTTTTAAGGTAGGGTGTATAGTTCTATTTAATATTTTATTGTTCTGTTTAATATCTTTTTGTAAGGATGGAGGTTGGGAGTTTAATTAGTAGAAATATTAGGATGGCTTTATTTCAGTTCATTTGTACTTTAAGAAACTTAAGGGTAACTGCCTTCCCACAACTGATTATAGACAGTAAAAGGCAGTAGAAGGTGATATGTTTTGGGTGTAAGCACTCAGCTTCGTACCCTTATTTGTTTTGTTTTTTATGATTTTCAATGACTGCTGACTAGATTGACATCAGTGTTTGGATATTGTCTGTCAGATGGGATATTCCCAACACATTTGGGTGCTATCACTACAGACATTATCCATTATGACAATAAGTTGACAACGAGGACTGATAATGGCAGGTATAAAGCAAAATAATTTTTGTAGGTTTTAGTTATGCATTTTGAAATTTAAAAAAGTATGTGTGTGTGTGTGTATGTGTATATGTAAAATTACTATATCACTATTTCACTGTAATTTATCACGCTTCCTTACTAAGTTGTATTTGGACCTAAAAAACTTCATTTTGCCTCTATTCTTCAAACTTGGAACCCCAAATACTTGTTTTTTCCTGCCTAAACACTTTATAAAGGTTGGGAGAAGTAGGCAGGTCAGAAATAGCACTTTTGATTGATATAAACGTGTAATTGAGCAAAGTAGGTGTATGCAGACAACTATTTCCAAAAATGGAAGAGATGGGCAGAGCCACTGTAGTACATTTGCTAAATATAATGAATTGCTACATAGTGTAGCTTAGATTAGTGAATATTTACAAATTCTAAATAGTTCTAAGAGTTTATAGTGAAAGGAAATGTGTCATTTACACTACATCTGCTACTTCCAGTTCTGATAGGACCTTTTGCCCATCACCAGGGCTCATCAGGCTATCTGGGTTACAACAGACACAGTAGTTGGAGAAGGCTGTGTATTTCTTTTCTTTATTTGTTCATGAACAACTGTTATGGTGTGAACCAGATTTCCTAAATAAAAGTTTATTCTTCATTTTAGCACATACAAATATTTACATATTAATAGAAAATCATGCAAATAAAAGTTCCCACAAAAAAAATGTAACGTTTTGACAAGGTTTTGTCATCATCAGGTGACAAAACCTTGTCGAAATGTTGTACATTTGCTATTATGTTAAACTTATATTAAAGTTTTTCTTCATTACCCATTCAAGCCGTCTCCAGCCATTGTTAGTCTTAAAGTGGATTCCTCATTATTGAATTACTTTCGTTTATCCTAAGTAGCTCTAAGTTCATAACATTATACATCTATTTATAATTAAATTTTATTGTCCTTTGAACTGTGTCTAACTACTATCTGTACCATTATAAGTTGTAAATCACTTGGGAAATGTGCAGATTGTGTTACGCTATGAAATTACATTATCCACAAGCTGCTCGTGCGTGTGATTCATGAACCATTTTAATTAATTATTATTATTTACTTATTTTACCTGATCTAGTTTTAAAAACTTAAAAATATCCATATTTTTAGATTTTAGTTACTTTTACAATAATAAATAAAGAATAAATATGAAAAATAAGAAATATAGTACTTACCTAATCTTTTTTTTTTTCTGTTGGGTTTTGAAGAGAGTTAACCCTAATTTTTTATACTATAGATAGTAAAGCACTTAATAATTTTTATTTAATTAAGTAATGCACCAAAGACTATATGCTAGTAACATGAAAAAAGTAGACAAATTCACTTAACTCTGTTACAAATTCATCCAAGCTAGTCATTAACTTTCCCACGGGAAAAAATCTTATACTGTGAATGAAAGTGATGATATTCTGTTCAGAATATAGTGTTATACAGTACGTCATTTGATAGATGAAAACCTTGACTTTCTATAGGTTATAGATAATGTATAATGAAATGTGAGAGAGAACTATCAATGAATTGTGAAAGAAAGGATATGGCAGGAGGGTTCTTATTTTCTATTTGAACAAAATTGAAGACCAAAAATTATGGTTTGTCTGAGCAGTAATGATTTTATAGAGAGTAATGTAAGTTTAATTTTTGAGGGGTGATAGATAAAATAGGGATGATATGCTAAGACAAAATGTGTCATGTTGGTCACACTAGTGGAAATTCAGGGTTTTTTTAATATTCCATTGTAGAACTAAGAACTTAACTTGTGTACTATTAAAATATGGTTTATTAGCTAAGATATAATGCTATTCTAATTGATGTAACTTAAACAAAAAGTATCATAAAATTTTTAACTTAAGACACTAAAACCTTGTCATGCGCAGTAAATGATACCCAGGGCAATAGGGTTAAATTACTAGTGAGGCCATTTTGCTCATATTTTGTTCAAGTTGATTTTTTTTTTATCATTTATTAGTTCGTTTGCAGATTCTTTGATACTACTTCAAAATTTTTGTCACCAAAAAGATGTTGAATTAAATAAAATGTTGTATTTACATATGTTACAGTAAAGCGAAATCAAATGTTTTGAATAAAAAGTGTTTATTTTTTGTTTCTTATTATATATAGATGTTTGGCTTTAAAAAGGGCCACATTTTATTATTTTTATTTGGATATATCTTCTTGGTATTGAGTATCAGAACTTTTCAGTTTAGCTTCAATGATGTATGGAAGGTTTTATTTGAATGGGATTCCTTAATTTCAGAATCAGTTTCTAAGAGATGAGTCTTTAATTTTGCAAACATTTTCCTAGAACTCATCATCCTGGTTGATATACTTTACAAACATTCCATGTGATATAATTCTGTTTAGTTTGCATATTGTTTAAGTTATTAATAATTAGTGATTCTTTTGCTGTCTGAGCTTTTTAACATGTAAATTGAACACAATTACACATGGTGTGCTTTTTGTTTTACTAATTTATATTTGTAAACTGTAGGACACTTTGTAATTTTTTTCCCATGGGTTAAGTTTTAAGAATGAGCCTGCTTCTATTTTTATATAAATATTAGGTATCAATTCCAGAGTAAAATTTAGAAATTTTTTTTGAGCTTAGAAAAAAAATCTTGGTAAAGAGGAAAGTTTGAAAAGAAAGTTTCAATTTTTATGTACATTGTGTTTTACAGAGAAGGGAAAAAGCTGAACAGACAGCCTATAAATTGGAACAAGATATTGCTTTATGTGAGTAGTGCTTCATTTAAGTTTTTGTGGAATACATTGTTGCTGTGGGTAATTTTTATTTCTTACATGTACATATTTCAATAACCTTTTCTTTAAAAAGATTAGTATACATATCTTAAAAAAAACTGATGTTAAACATAAGTTAGAATATTTCAACCAATTATAATATTGGATTTCAGTAATATTTTAAGCTCTTATAATATTTTGGCTTTTTATTGGTTATAAATAATATAGTATAAAACATCGGAGACAACTATTGGCAATTTGTAAAAAGTGAGCATGGCATGTTTGTCTGATTTTCTAGTTCATGGCTCTATAAAGATGTGATTGAAGGCTATAAAAATTATGCTTTGCCTCAGTAATATCTATATTATTATGAGTAACTTACATTAAATACTGTACTTCTCAGAGGAGTGGTAAATAAATTAGAGAAGAGGGAAGACCTAGAGAACAAATGTTACAATTCTCATAGTAGGGGATACTGAGGATTTTAAATCTGTTTATAAAATCAAGAACTTGTATAATAAAATTTGATTTATTAACTAATTTTCATGCAAAGTTTATTCGTATACGATGATAAAATAGCTTAATTTTGAATGTTAACTCTATAAAGTTCACTTGCATTTTGACTTATCCATAACAAGAGGGTTAATGAAGTTTGAAAAACTTCCCTCCCTGTACACATAAATTCCCCCCACGTTACTCTAAATTAAATAGTTTTGATTTATTTCAGATCATTATATAGTTTAAACAGTGTTCTTAAAACAAAACTTTTCCTAATTTACCAAAATATTCAATTATTTGAAGATTTTGAATTTGGAACTTTCAAAATATAAAATTTATAATATTTAGTCTTAAGTGAAGTAGTTATTTTGTTGCACGTGTCTGTAGAGAGTATCATTGAAATTTTATTTCTTGCTTTCAGGGGATCCACATAATGATACCAATGGGACCTCTGATCCTTATAAAACACTATTTATTGCAAGAATTGTAAGTATTTGTTTTTGAAATAGTAGTTTGTTTCATTAACTTGGTCAAAAGAAATCAAGTAAGTTCTGGATATAAGTCTTAACTTTTCCTCAGTGAACTAGAAAATACCTACCAATGTAAATTAAACGCTTATATTTGCAAACGGTATTTGTTTGGACAGAAAAATAATTAAACCAAAGGTAAGGTACAATTGCTACTTTTTTGTTGCTTGACAAAGACGTTACTTTTGAAGCAAGAAGAATAACATAAGTAGTCCATTACATTTTCTTTAAAATGTAGTATGTGCACATTGTTTATATAATGAATTTTAAAACTTGAATAAAACTTTTGAAGCTGACTTTACAAATTGAGTTGTCAGAAAATTCATATATATTTTAAACTTGCAAATCTATGAGTGTGAGATGCAATTATTTAGCTGAGATTTTCACAGAACCTGAAAAGAAACTAAGAGAAGATTAGATTTTCCCCCTCCAGGCTGTTTACAAATTAGTAGGTAGGAAGTTGAGAGGGTTATAGGTAATGGAGTGGTTAGGAGGTTTGTATCTACAGTTCTTGTGTTTACTCAAATAACACATGCCTGCAAATTTAATCTTCATAAAGGTTGTTTTGGTTTTAGTAATGGATTTTCCATAATTTAGCTACACAGATTTTGAAAATAATATATTTTTTTTCCATCACCTTAAGATTATTTACAAATCGAAAAGAAAAAAAAAAACTTGCTTAGATCACCACAATGAACAGGTTTTATTATTGTTTGTTAACAAAAACACACACAAACTGTGTGTGTGTGAAATCTTACATCTTTAATCTCAAATTCTGTTGTTATCTTTCTTTTATGTATTGCATTATGAAGTTTTGTGGAAAATCTGTATGTGATGGGGGGGAAAAAAATGGATTTCATTTGTGGATTCAGCATACATGAATTACTATAGAACATGTAAAAATTTCAAAACAATAAAACCATTGCAGGCCTGTGTAACTTGTGTAAACATATTTCAATGTATTAGTAATCTTGTAATGTTCCTTTTGTATCTTGTGTAGGGACTTGTGGTAATAGGTGGTTCCTTTGATGAATTGATTTTTTTAGGAATTGTAATTTTATATTAAATAATTCCATTGGTTATTTTTAGTTACTTTTTCTATCTCAAACATTATTTATTCTCATTTAGTCTCAGAATGTTTTTCAATTTTGTTGACAGTTTTTTTTCTCTCTTTCTCCAAAGAACTATGACTCTTCTGAATCTAAGCTGAGAAGAGAGTTTGAAGTTTATGGGCCAATCAAGAAAGTAAGTAAAGAATTAATTTTTCTTATTTATCTTACTATTGTCTGAAGCACTATTTTTGTAAGAATGCAGAAAAATGAAATTGTTTACAGTAAATATTTGAATATGTATTTGGTATGCAGGGTGTTTTGAAATAATGTACAGACTGACTTCTGAGGTAATGTTTAATATGTTGTGCCCAGAAGAAGCTATGAAATTGCACTAATAATAACGGAACAGAAAGACACGTTGGACCTTCTGTGTTATCAGCTCTGCTGAGTTTATTTGCTTGTGCTATTACTAGCTTGACTGTAGTCTTAAATTTGTATTAATAGTTAATAATTGAAGTGGTATATTTCATATTACAATTGAATGAGTGGGCCAAAACTCGGTTTTCAGGCCATAACGTTTGAAAAATGCATGGGATATCTTGATGGGCTGATACTGTATCTCTGTTCTTTGTTTATAAAATTGGATATTCAAGGGTAATTTACATTGACTGAATTGTATTGTTTTTCTTTCATATAATTCTGCTATCATATTTTGAGGGGAGAGTAAGAGTAATATGCGTGTATAAGGTCTAGTACATTAATGAATAGACAAAGTAACAAAATTTTTTTATCCGTTAAAATTGGAAAAATTGTTATCTCCTTAAAGACTGGCACATAACATTTTGAATCATATGATAATTACTATTTTGTAACTTGGAGGCAACAGTAAAATAGTATTAATTTTTGACTAGGAAATGAAAAGTTACAAGTTGCAAACTTGCATAAACACACATTTCATAAGAAAGTTAATTTGAAGTAAATCTTCTTTGCATGATCATTTGTATGTACCATGATCCTTTGTTCTGTTTGTGTTTAACTGTTAGTTAGTGGACTGTATTCAGTTTTCCTCACACACACATTGTGTGTTAAAATCTTCATCAATAACAGAGTCAGTTTAAATTTTATTGTACATGTGAGACTTTCATTTTCTTGGCTTCATGTTCTATATACATGTTAGAAGGATTTGTATTAAATTTCTTCTCATTTGCCATAAGCTTCTCCAGTAGAAGGTTCTCTACTGTTGTATGTTTTCACCTAAGCCTTTGGTCAGTGAGCATTTGGGTGGTAAGGTGATTAAACCCTGACCTAATGCCACTATTATTGGACCCTATGCAGTGCATTGTTTGCACCAGCATACAAGTATTCTCAATTCCTTTCTTCTGTATGAAAACACATGCTCTTAAGATGCCAGGAACCTGATTTAATTTTTAGTTCAAGTTTGAAACTCTTCAAAAGATTTTCACAGTATATAAGGCGGGCTTGGTATAATATACACGAGTTAAGTATTTATACTATAACTTTTTATGCAGTAGATATATCTTCAAACAATTTGGTAGACTTTTAATAAAGAATACAAGTCTTTCGTACACAAAACCTCAGAATTTTTAATCAAGTATTTTTATTATAGATTTGTTTGTGAAAATATTGAGTCTGTTTCATTACCAGTCCAAGTATGAAGTGATTTTCATGTTATAACTAAAACTATTGTTCATCCCAAAAATCTCGTATTATTTGTGTAATCTATAAAACCTCCTAAGTACATTTCAAATGTTTGTTTTAAGTACAACTTTATATTCTGTTATTTTCTTTACACTAACTCTATGGGGTCTGTCAGTTTGACTGGCCTTGTAACCACCATTAAAAAAAATAAAATTAGGAAATGTATTTAAATTATGCATTTTTTTTTGTTCTAGAATGACTACAAATTATAACATAATCACAAATGTTTAGTCTAAATAGCTTAAGTCAAATAACATTATACATTTATATATATTTATTATTTTTATTATATTGACTTTCCAGCCATGCCTGGCTAACAATACAGAAGTTACAATGACGTGGTGCACATGCACTCATGATACCGTATCCAATAATATAAAACTGACCTTTCGTGTTTACAAAATGACCTGTCTTGGCTGTGTTTCAGTGGATTAGTATTTGTAAAATAGTCACATTTCAACTATTATACATTATATATGTATATACATTAATACTATTTACACATTCATTCTTAAACTTATTTTTCTTAAAACATGTAAATAAAGAAATAAAGCAAACGATTATGTCTTCTAGTTATGACCCTTGTACTTTTTTGCTGCTTATTGCAGGTTGCTAAGCCTTGTGAAATTTCACACACACACACACACACACACACACACACACACACACACACACACACACACACACACACACACACACACACACACACACACACACACAC